ATCTTGTTGGCATGTTATTAACGTCTTTCTAGGCTAGAAAACTTAGTACGATAGGAAGGCAACAAGTCATAATAATTTTACATTAATACATGTTTTCCAATGGCACTTTTGATTTCAAATAGTTACATAGTCATGGTTTGCGTGATATGGATTGATTATTAATAATTATTACACTAGTAATAGTGAAGCAGCAATTTACCGCAAACGAGTACAATTACTGTCTTTACTCTTGAGGCAACTGTATAGAAATGTCTGTTTAACACTTAAAATCAGCATATTATTTGCCAAAGTCAACCCAAATACGTCAGCTAATTAACATAATTGTTACTTCCAAAATAATTTATTATTGCAATTAAATTAAAGCGCTAAACTTTTTTGCTGACAAATATATTGTCCACCATCAAACTAATCGAAGTATTGTCTTCACTACTTTGATTAGGATAGAGCGAGAGTAATAAGGAATTTCAAAGAACATACAGTAATGTCGCTAACTAAAATTTATGGTATAATTAAGGCGGATAACGTTCGATGAGCACACGGACAACTCGTAAATTCGCTAGAGTCAATAACATTATACTTTTCAAACTTACCCTCGCTACATCCTAACATACTGATTGTAATTAATATTGATTACGAACTGACGTTATATTTAACGAATCTGTAATTACCAAAAGTTTGTCATCTGTTATAGCAACAGATCAAGTTCATAAAAATTGTAACTGACGCCCGCGACTCCGTCGGCGCGGAATTAAAAAAAACTTAACTAGTAGCTTATGCGTTTTTCCAGACAATATGTTCTACACTTATGTCAAATTTCTATTAGATTCATGCAGTTCTAGAGGTATACCTTTAACAAACTTCCATTCAACCATCTAAATATTCGCATTTATATTATTAGTAAAACGTCAAAACCCCAACCATGAAATTATCTTGTCATAGTCGATGACAACCTGCGTATTTTTTAAATATCTGATTTAACTACGCTTCAAGGAAACTTGTAAATATATAAATAAAATAAATTAAGTCCTTGCATTTAGAAAATCGACGAGACCAATTCACGAACGAAATGAGTCATCCGATATCACAGACCAGTCATTTGGTCAGTGTCGCAAAACTAATGACACATAATGACGGCCGGGCTAACGTCCAGGGGGAGTAACACTAACCAACATAAACTTTACCATTGTAACAGGCAATTTTGAACTTTATTTTTAGGTACTAAGGTGAATGCGGGTGAAAACATCAGTCAAGCTCTGTTGGTTATCCTCCCAAAACAGTCTTGCATGAGGCAGTCGTGATCGCAGACGGCCACCTGACCACCCCGGCCACTCCTAATTGAGACTGCTGTGATGTTAAAATGAATTTATGTTAACTATATTAGTTTATAACTATTACTAACGATATTTTATGTAAAGTTTCAAAACATCGATTAGCAATAAAAACTATGTATACAAATTTATTAATTTACTATTGCAATAGCGTTCTATGAACGAAATATTCCTTGTTATAAACACTAAGTGAAAATTGGAAAGTAATGCACTACTTATTATTCCAATTGAAACGCAATTCTGTTACAGTAATTCCATTAGAAGCCGCGTGCACGACAACCACTTTCTCCTATTTCTTTTTCCATGCAAGGAAAAATTTTCTTTAACGTATATTGCGTTTTAAAGAAATCGCTTACTTTTTTTTATTAAACTGTTATGAAGACACAGTTACATAATATTGATAAATTAAACACAATATAAACTGGATATACAATACATGTAGTAAGCAGTTCATATATCTGTCTAAAAATAGATGCAGTGTAATAAAGATCCAGTATTCAGCACGGCACAAAGCGCAGAATAAGAACAACGGACGTGTGCGAAGCTAGAAATGAAATTGATGAACTTTTCTCGCAGCAATAATGGCTTTGGCACGTACCAACATAATTCCCAACAAAACTTCCTCGCAGCGCACCGCCCAAAACCAGGGTTGAAACATCTTACGCGTTGATTTTTTAATTAAATATTATCTTTCTAATTAAACATTATGTAAAATATTAAGCATATAAGGCTATTGATAAAATATATAGCTATTCTATTATTCGAATTATTGAGAAAATATTTGGTCCAGGTAACTTTTTCTAGGCTTTTGTTCTGTTTTCCGAATGTTATTACGTCTTTATATTACTATTACATACGCAATAAGTTATAGTACGGTAAAAATGATAAATGTTAAGTAAGCATTACAAAATTGTTTACACAGACAACACATCATTTATTTTCCTCTCTCCTAGACGTACGTTGAAAAAAGGTAAAAAAATTGTTCCCTTTTTACCGCGTGAAATATTAGTCGAGTCCTTTTTGTTTTCAATTTTAGAAAAGTATTTATTATTTAACAGGCAACCCTGTTAGAAAGGACAGCGGACAGCGACGCTGCGAAGAAGGGAACGTACATCCAATATAAGAAGAGAACAAAATAGGTTTATGTCGGATACTTTGACCATTCGTCCGTAAAGTAACTTCGCTGTAGAAGTGACGCTCCCAGGGTCGTTATATTATATTCATCTCTTACGGATATCTATATACTTAAATTGTCTTATATGTACGTATAACTTTTATATTTACTTGTATATTTGTAATGGTGAACCTAAAGAAAATATTTAATATAAAACAGTAAAGAAAACTAAAACCAAGACACTTTTTGTCAGCATTTAATTACAGAACTTCTAAACTAAAATAATATTAATAGAACAAACGCTTACAAGTAAAAAAAAATAGTAATTTATTATAGGGTAGCTGTCGCCGCGACACCATCAGCGCGCAATCAGGATAAATTTAACTAGTATCCTTTGTTATTCCAGATTATGTTCTTCATCTATGCCACATTCCAGAGAGATTTATGGAGCCTTTCTGATGATACCTTTAAACAAACATCCACTCAAATATTTGCATTTATAATATTAGTAAGATTTATTTATCAATGTACGTGTACTAAAAGCAAGCATATCGCGCTTGTCCTATTTCTAGGTGTAAGTACATCAAGTATTGAAGACCTCGCTTACTCGACAGTCAGTCAGACATCTGGGCTTAGTGCTGCCGTAAGGTGATAATATTAGCTAATGCACCGGACACACGTCACTCCCTCAGGACCTCGCCGCTCTTGTCACCGACCACGAAGATTATTATTCATGTTATGTCTAAGTTAAGATGCACTTATGTAAGAGTGATTAAATTTTAAAGCAGCATTAAATTGTATCCTCTTGGTATTTCTACATATCGTTTTAGTTTAAATAAGTACAAAGAAAAAGTACTTGTGAAAATATTGTATGCTGTGTTCGTATTTTTTATTGATTTATTTTTTATCTTGAATGAATATTTGTAAAATAGAAAATCCAACATAAAATTTGCCGTATTTGTACATGAAATGAACCATGTAAAAATTCCGGAGAAGTAATCAAGTGAGGCTACACCGGGGTTTCTAAAGCAGAAATGAAGCCGATGTCATCCCCGGTGTGTCGCCGCTGCGCCGCCGCTGCACCGCTTAATCAGGGCCGGACCGCCCGCCCTATATTTGCGTATGCAAAGAGACTCCGGCCGCATTAACTATGCCATATAGCCAACGTAGCGTGCACCGATTGGGCAAACACATATCTGCATTATAAACAGCGTCCGGGAGCACAAACGCGCAATGTGGTCGGCCTTTACCGGCGGCCGGTGCTCGGTACACGGCGCCGGCTAATCAACGAGCTGACCTTCCGCAGCCGAACAAACGCCGCGCCCGCCTCACGACCACCGTCCATGTAAAATACACGATTATGTACTTCGTTAGTGCAGCTGCTAATTAGCAAATCGGAACTCGGATGCGACACGTTTGCACTGATCACACGATGACGAATCCATTTTACATTGTACTTATTTGCATACGTTTGTTTACAGGTCAATACAAAAATAGAATACAAAATTCGCATCCACAAACTCAAAGAGAAAAGTGCGCTTTTCTTCTTTTTACGGTTTATAAATCGACAATGTCGTACTTACAAATAAAATCCTATTTACCAGTCAGGAGAAATGAATAAAGGTTAGGTAAAAGTAACTTATCAGAAATGGTGCGCGTAAAATCTCAGACAATATAGACGAAACGACTGGATGATGTCACGATATTTATGTCAAGCTGGTCGATACATACAGCCGATACGGCTACGAAGACCTTTACTCTTGACATTGTCCACCTTTGGAATGTAGCATGATCCACGCAGTAGCAAGGTATGAACATTGACAATGAAATACTTAACCCTGATATCTTATGAAGCGGGTAATGTAATGATTAATGAGTTATTCATGTAAAGTGTTTGATTGCATGCATGTGCAGTGAATCGACTGCAACTTTCCACTTTCAAACTGCGCTGGCCGCGCCGCGCCTTCTTAACGGAAAATCTCGACATATTTGTTCAACTTATATCCACTAGAGCGAAAAAAGAAAGCATTCGTAGAATAAAAATATTGTAATAACAGTAAAATTAGATAGTTTTATTTTAAACTTGTGTTTCACAATCCATAATAATAGAAGAGATTTAAAGATTGTTTATGAATGGATTTTTCTTTCTACTTTTACCGTTGGTTTCTGAAACCTGATTTAAACGAAGATATTAGACGATATCGTCGTCCTTGTCATTATATTTGACAAAACAAGGATAATAATATGTTTTAAAAGGGAATTTTTGTCTCGGAAATCCATAGTTACCTTAAGATAAATATAGATCCATAGCTAAAGCTTTGTAAAAAAACAAAAACACCACATTGTCGTATTTTTCCTTTAACTTAGAATCATTCATAGGCGACTTATATTCTATAAGAAATGAAATTGGTATATTATTTTTACAATTAGTTTGGGTACTGATATAAGAAGGTAGGATTACTGGTGTATTTGTAGAATCGGCAATTTTATTTTGGTTTCATTTAAATCTATTAATAATTTCTGGGAAGTAAAATGAATGTTTAATAAATTAGCTTTTATTGTATCTTACATAATTTCAATAAATTATTTTACATTTTCATACCTAAATACAATTGTCATATTGTCACAATACAATAAATTATAATAAATTATTCACTGACATATATTCGAATGTTCTAAGTTTGTCACTATAGTGTCAATGCTTTGGCTTGAGGCTTTCATACGTATGGGTCCATGAGAACAACAAATGGTGAGGTTCAGAAAGTGTTCGAAGGCTTGCTTTTAGGCGCTTGGCGCTGGCTGTTCCCCCTTGTATAGGTAAGGGTCCAGCGCGCTCTCTTTAACCGGCCGCACCACGTACAGGTTCCGCCTTCGAATTAAAGACTAAAATAAAGATTTAGTACTTATTATATACAAGCAAAAAACATTCCAATTAAGCTATATAATTATTATATCGTTTATAGTTTATTAAACGAATATAAAAACATTTCACCTATGATGTCCATCGGCGTGGACTTGGAACGTTGTTTCAGCAGCTGGTCCTTCTTGGCTGAATAGTTTCCTGAGGGCAATGATACCGGCAATTGTCAAAGCGACCTTGCTGGCAATGAGCGCCTTACCGGCAATGACAGCTAAGGTCTTCAGAGCCATACCGCCCACTATGCTAACAGTGGTGAGCACACCGAGCATCATATATGGCAGGACCTTCTTTCCTGTACAATAAATGAATCTATAAGTATCAAATAATATTTTATAAATAATATAAGAAGTTGAAAGACATTGGTAAAAATGCGCGCACCTCTTCCTCTACCTTCCGTCGACAAATCGAGTGACACAGAATGAGTGTTCAATAATTGTTCGAATTTTCTGCGTAACATGGTGTCGAGTTTTTCTTCAGCTGACATTCCAGGGAAGAATCGAGGCTCCGCCATCGCAGGAGGTGCATCGGACTGTTTCACCAATGTCAATCCATCGGCCAGTTGTACGTTCTCCTGTGCGACATATTAAAATATTATAATACACAACCACCAAACACATATCAATACGAAAACACTGCACCACCATCACCTGTTCCACTGCTCTTGTGAGTGCCGTTAAAGCTTTACCCTTCAAACATGTCGTTAAATGTTTATGCGCACTGCAATCGTCGTACACTTTTTGTAACATGGAGAACTCCGGTGATTGCCACCACGAGCTTTCGTCGGCTCTGCCGCTGTCCACTTCGTTCTGGTAGTCCTCCGCGTCCATTCTGCGTGACCTTCTCGGCCCATGGACGCGTCCGGCGACCACCACCGCACAGATAAGCGAAACAAGAGCTATCCGAAATGTGGAACTCATTTTTATTTTTAACGCGCACAACACTAAAAATATGAAAAAATACGTTTATGAGGGTAGCCCAGCGACAACTGACCGGTGAAGTGGCGGCAGCGAGTTTATAACGGGCACGCACCTCACCGCCAAGCACCACCGAACATCCGCCATTCCGCACCGATTCTCCTGCACGCGCACTTATGTAACTGAACTTGAAAATGATTGAGAATCATTTTCCAAGCCAATTTCACCGATAAAATGCCCGACAAAAACTAAGTCGTATGCATTACCAATTGCACTTGTATATGTGTGTGTGATAAAATGAAATTACGGATGAGTTTGCGTGTGGTGCGGACTGTTCGGGCTTACGTTTCACTCGCGGACGACCGGTTGCGGACTTGCGATCCATACGGAGGGATTGTAGCAATATTATTTCAAACTTTAACGACGTGATCGTGGAGTTCGAGGACTGCTTACACCTCGATCCGATGCCTCGATCAACTGCAAGTAGAAGCTGCCGTAGCGGATGTCCGGTGGCTAACACGAGGAATTATATAGCTGCATCAACCACATAAAGAAAGTAAGAGTTGCAACGAAGTGCATTCGTAAGCACGCAACAATTAATAACACTAATGTTTTAACAATGTACTGAATATGTGATTTCTTTTTGGTATAAATAAAAATCTCTGTTTTCTATGCGTTTGGATGCCATTGGTCGATTTCTAATGGAACTTTGATATGGTGTAATGAGGTCGCTTAGGAAGATGGCAGACCTAACAACTAAAAATAAAAAATAAATGTTTTCTACACTTTTGTTCAGAATGGCTATTCACCCTATACTATCCTATGAACTTATTCCCTTTATAATGTTCAATACCTGTATCAAATTTCAATAAGATATGTCGAACTGTTGCAGAGTTATCGAGAAAATTTGTTAACTAAACTTATCCTACGTATAATATAAATATATACAATAGATGTTTTCGAGATCATGGATAGCCTACGTGTTTTTACAGACTGTGGGTCTACATATTAAATTCATCGAGATCTATTTCGCCATTCTGTGCATCTCTATATCCAAACATTCGAATATAATATTGGCAAGATTTTAAGCGAGCGTTGCCGATTGCGTTAATACAGTAAATTGCCATCTGACGGCGAACTAACGCATTACTTAAAATCTAAACGTGTGGAGTCCTAAGATTTGTTGGAAATAAGTACAGATGGCAATGTACAAAACGGAACTAATGTCGAGGTTATCTCATAATTTGCCGATAACTCTAATATAAATTAAATTACGTTTATTACAAGTATTGTTATGCATGAGACATATGAAAATTATTAAAATTATTCAGGGTGTATAAACAGCAAATTTTAATTTGAAAAATTATGTTGAAACGAACTTGAGAGATTAATAAACGTCAACGTCAAACGTCATCGCCAAGTGGTGCTTTGTTTATGCAGAGTGGTAAATTTTTCAATTTTTATAATTAATTAATAAGATAAACTTTTAAATTAATTAAAATTCGAAATACTACTATGGTACTTGACGTTAACCTTGCTTACCAAGGCGAAGATCCAGGAGCTGTACAGTATGGGAATTTCATAAACTATTACTCCTTTCACAATTCAAATCAAAGAATAGAAGGTCTTCATGCTTCAATGTTTCCAAATATTGACACTAATGAAGATATTATATGTTTGGATATTGGATGTAATACAGGAGAACTCACAAAAGAAGTTTATGAATATCTAAAAATTAAAATTTACCCAACATCTTCAATTCATATTCTTGGTGTAGACATTGACCCAATTCTGATACAAAGAGCTAAAGACCTCACAAACATAAGTGATATTACATTTATAAAATCAAACATAATGAATGAAGAGGATCAAAAGATAATTGCACAATACTTAAATTCATATAATAAAAAAAAGTTTGACATAGTGTTTTGTTTTTCTGTTACAATGTGGCTACATATAAACAGTGGTGATGAAGAATTTTCAAATTTTTTAAAATCCTTTAAGAATTATACAAACTCATTAATAATAGAACCACAACCATGGAAATGTTATAGGAATGCTCAAAGACGAATGAAGAAATCTGATAGTAATTTCCCTCTTTACGAATCATTGAAAATAAGAAGCAATGTTGAGTTATTTATTGTAGATACTTTAACAAAGAACGGTTTTATAAAAACATATGAATCTCCTCCATCAAAATGGAATCGAAAAATACAAAGTTTTCACTCAATTAAATAAATAAATATTAAGACTTGTTACAATTATTTTATTAGATGAATAATAGTTAACATTTTACGGTACCCCTTCCTCAGCATTTAATTCACATTCCACTTTAATATCCCTATTTAAAACTTTAGAGTCTTCTGAATCTTGTGCTTTCAGCATATTTAGTACCTGTAACGTTATACAATGAGTAATTATATAGAAAACATAAGATAATAAACTTAACAACAACAGCTACACATGTGACTAAATGTGAGGAAAAATAGTTAAATGGAACAGACTAACAATATTTACCTGCCCAGATGCATTGCTGGCTGGAACTCTTTCTTCTGTAGCTTTTCTCTTCACTGGTGTTTTTGTTTGAGCACATAGACTATAAAGAAACAGCAAATTAGAATACATGTAGTTTCTATCTTATTATGTGTTTTGAATAATATGATACTCATAATAACAGTAACAAACTAACGAGTTAAAAGCTCACCCGGGCGATGATTCTGCCAATGGATGCAGTAACATAGTCATTTCTGCTAACTTATTAAACGCAGCACCTGCTTCCGTAAATATTTGGCCAACCTATAAGAGATTCTGCTTAAATAAAGAATTCGATAATTTGTAGCCACTTATTGACATGAGAAAGCCAAAGAGTCCGTAGTGATAAAAATTGAACCGTTGTTTTCAGTTAAACAAGCTTTAGTATTAAAAAGGTATTGATAACGTAAATAAGTTCAAAATGTAATTAAAGTACACACGGACTACCTTTGCTGCAGAATTATCCATTAGATTTGTATTCTAACGATATGTTATTAAATATTGATGTTATAACACTGTAAAAATGTTGACATGTTTTTGTTTTCAACTTGTCTGTCAAACCGTAATCCACAAACCAATTGTTGGTAAAATAAAATTCAAAAGGTTGATAAGCTTTTTTAATTCAAAATTAGATATTTTCAGTTTAACACTTAAGAGCATTCACATAGGTATAAAATAAGTACACGTTCTTTTATATAAAATTAATTTCAATAAATTGATACCTTTAAGCGAAACCTAAAGATTTTTAGGTTCTTACGTAATTGGCACTGGCAACATTTCGTTTACAAATGACATGTATGGTTTTGTTTATGGACAATTAACCTAACCTAAAATTGTGCCTACAATATATATAGTTAACAAAAATTATAAATTGTTTTGCCGATGCTTTCATCATATTACTGTATATCTTTTATTTTGTTTAAGAGAAAAGAAATCAAGTTTTGTCTTGCGCCAGAACTTATCCTGTAACGACATTTGCTTATAATTAAATAAGTGAAAAATGTATCAGAATAATCCTCGATTTAGACATTGGTCTCCTCAGTTTAGACCACGGGGACAGTTTTTACGACGTAATTATACACCAAATCACTTTAGATATACAGGACCACAAGTACAAAATAACTATGAATTCTGGTGTGAAACTTGTGACAAAGGATTTCAGACTCTAAACATTTTAGAGAATCATAAATCACAACATCAAGTACGTATTTGACGACTTCTATAATAATAATAATATTATCATTACATTATATTAAATATAATTTTTTTAGAAATGTAACATAGATGGATGTCAATTTGTGGCCCACCCTAAAATCATAACAAAGCACATCCAAATGCAACATTCTACAGGATTATATAAAAAAATATCAAAGTTAAATAATCCTGAGGAAATCCGAAAATGGAGGGAGGAAAGAAAATTGAAGTATCCAACAAAGAAAAACATAGAAAAGAAAGCAGCGGAATTAAAAGAAAAAATAGAAAGAGGTGAAAAAATGGGCATGAATTATCAGAAGCACCATAAACATAGGAAACCAGGTAATATATGTATAAACCTGAAATGACTTTCAAAAAATTTACACTTTACAATGTTTTCATCTTAAATGTCTGCTTTCAGAATTATATTCAAGAAATCAACACAATCATGCCATGACGAAAGGGAGGGAAAAATTCCAAGGAAGACATAAAAATAACAAATTTAAAAATGAAACTGCCTCATTTCATAAGAAACCACAAGCTGCAAAAAAGGTTTGCAGGACAATACCAAAACCTGATAATACACAAAAACTTAATCCTTTTGCTGGAATACAACACATTATTATAGAAGACAATCATGATGAAGAAATTGACGAATCACTTCAAAACTCCTTGATTGAAGATGATGATGTTTATGCTGAAGAGGGAATAAATAATGTAAATGAAAAATCACAATTAGAACCTTCAGTATGTGGAGCTTTGTCAAGTCTTATGAATGAATATGGATCTTCAGATGAAGATGTTAGCACTGCTGTAGATAAATCTATCAATGGTTTGGTAAAACATCAGGTAGAGTTGACCAAGACCACAACAGAAATCAAAAAAGAAACAATAGAGAAGAAACTGCCTATAACTGCAGATGTAAATAATAAATGTAAAAGTGATGAGGACAGTGGCCCTGAAGAAACAGTTATTACTAAATCTACGACTGATCACAATGTTGAAGAAAATAGTAGCAATAATTTGAAACCAAAATTAGAGAAAAGGCCGAGGAGTCCACCAAATATAAAACATTATAAAAGACCAAAATATCTGTTGCCTTCCACTTTGCTTGTTAAACTGTTAAGTAGAGAAATAGAACAAGAACGCAACATAATACTTCAATGTGTCAGACATACTGTAAAAAATAACTATTTTGATAATACCAAAGACTGAATTGTATTATAACATTGTAAATATAATTGTAATAACGTTTTTATTGTATACATTTGAAGATAACAAAAAAGTTTTGACACTTAACTGTCTCTAATTTATTGCTTGTCCTTTAATTTGGCAAAGTATAAAATGCAGTAAAAAGCTTTTTTTTGTTGTAATTGATACACATAAAACTATTAAAATAATCTGAAAAGATTAGTTTTCCTGAAACTTTTATATAAATTAAGGGTTATATAGAACTAGCAGTCGATAAGTCACCGACTCACATCTGTGAAGAATTTCAAAGATGTGTGAAGTCAACCAACCCTTACTGGGCCAGCCTGTTTGACTCTGAGCCTGGGCCTGGCAGTGGGCTCTACAGAAATATAATAAAGCATGAATTTGGCTAAAAATACACTTGGCACTGGCATTTTTATAATGGAAGAAAAAAAAATGAAAGCAGTAGCATACTTTATTAGTTATTATTGCTATGGTGCTTATTAAGATTTGTCAGTCACTTGTACCACCCTTGTACAATGTGATTTCTTATGTTATTAGGGGAGAATATACAAAATAAAGAATAGTTTTTAATATATCATTTATTCTTAAAAGAATAATTAAGATTGCGGCGCAGCCGTTGTGGTGGTGGCAGCAGCCTCTTCACGGATACGATCCTTCTTGAGAGTGCCCATGAAAGCAGCCTTATCAGCAGGTGTTTGGAAGCGACCATGTCCAAATTTGGATGAAGTATCAATGAACTTAAGGTTGATCTTCTCAAGAGCAGCCCTCTTGGTGTGCACACGAAGTGACTGAAAACAAGAATTGTGTTTAGCATCATAATAAGGGAAAGGTAAATCAACTATTTGAGTTTTTACAAATCAAAATGTAATATTTGAAAGGCTCTTTGTTATATCTTTGATCTCTCATATAAATTAAAAAAAAAAACATAAAAACACTCATATATCCCTCACCTTTCTCAATGTAATAACTCGTTTCTTTGGACCCATGCAACAGCCCTTGATCATGACGAAGTCATTATTGACTTCACCATAGTGAGGGAACCCACCCATGGGGGTAATAGATTTCTCAGACAGGTCATACTCAGTAGAGGCATTGTTTTTGATGACTTTCCCATCCTTGGTGTGGATTCCTGAAAATAGAAATCAATGAATTGATTACCTACTGAAAAAAGAGTTACAAATATGACAAAATCTGAATACTAGTAAATTTGGTGAACGAACCTTGTCCAATTCTGTAGATTTTCTTATTCATTTCTGTTCGGTGATGGTAGCCCTTCTGACCAGCCCTGGCAACAGTGAATGAAACTCTTGAAGGATGCCAAGCTCCAATACAAGCTACTTTACGCAGACCCTTGTGTGTCTTGCGTGGGAGCTTCTTAGTGTGCCAACGGGAAGTAACACCTGTAAGTTTGATATATATAAATTATGCTGTTATGTATAATTTGATCCTATTTTAGCCCCAATTTGTAAAAAGAAATGTATATTGTGACTATGACATTTAAAAACTATGTATCCTATAGTAATAATAAACTTAACAAGCTATGTACCTTTGTATCCTTTGCCCTTTGTAACACCAATGCAATCAATCATCTCATCCTGAGCAAAGACTGAATCCACTGGGATAGGTTTTTCAAGGTGTTCCCGAGCCCATTTTACTTTGTCTTCAATAGTTCCACCATTCAATTGAATCTCCATAATATGAGCTTTCTTCTGGCGTTGTTTCAACAACTTCATTTGAGTGTGGGCAATAACTCTGATCACACTGCAGTAGCGGATCATTTTCTTGAAATCCTTTTCAATGGATTTCTGGCCAAGCTCATCTTGCCATTTCTTGCTGGCTTTGGTAAATGCCTTCTTCTTGCATTTATACCTATTTAATTCAAAATTTAACACTTGCTGCAATAAAAAGCTATGCCATCTCTTCAGTGAGCGGAGATAACATAGCTGTTATATGCCCAAGGCATACATAAAGGTAAAGCCCTCATCACAGTGAGAGGAGAGCTGTTTACAATTATTAGTAAATGAAATTTGAAAAAAATTATAAAAGGTAATAAAACGACACCTTTAACAAAGATACATACCAGTTCTTATAGAAGCGACGTCTACAGTCCTCGGACATATGTTCTGCCCATACGGTGAGCAATGCGCGGAGGCCATGTGGTGTTTCAATATAACCGACCGCGCCGACACACACCATTGGTGGAGTCTCGATGATGGTAACTGCCTCCACAATTTCCTTCTTGTTGATCTCTTTAATCATTTTTAAATAATATTAGTGATTATTCATTTTCAACGACATCACTAATAGAAGTCTTAAATAGAAAATAACTTACTTGATCCAGGACGGTCAGGTTCACGAACCACGTGGGTCATACCAGCCTTATATCCGATAAAAGCGGTAAGGTGCACAGGTTTATTCGGATCATCTTTAGGGAAAGCCTTCACCTTACCGCGGCTGCGGCGGGATCTCTTCTTGGGATAGAATCCCATAGACCCATGACGAGGAGCCGAAAATTTTCTATGCGACTGAAAAGATAAATTATGGTTTAAATACCTAGCAAACTACGTTAATTTAAGTTAGATATCAACAATATCATCAGTCCGCCCTAGAAAAATCTTCACATAGATTCAGGTTCTAACCGTATTTAAAAACTAGTGGTATCATCATTTGAGTTTCTAAATTATTTAAATATAATACAAATCACAACTAAAATAATATTTCGATTAGTATTCTTTTACTGAATAACAAAAATAAATTTAGATTATTAAGAAAATTAACAATTTAAAACCCAGTTACTAACCATGTCGGTTCACTGTCGCAACAATAATGGCCGAGTTGTAGTGTCGTGTCCTGTCAGGTTGACGGCAACCAGAACTGTTTAAATATTGGCCGTAGGCACTAGGGTTTTGGCCGCTTGTTTTTTTTTGGATTATACTATATTGTACAGGTATTTGTAGTCCATGGGTCACGCAAAAAAGTACTATTTGCTATCTGAGTAAATAAATGATAGTGTAATTTCCAGATCTTAACTTAACATCTTTTTTTTTTTAATAAATACAAATATTTTTGTAAAAAACATCATGTTACATTTTTTTATTCAATTATTACTTATTATTATAAGGATTTATTATGCTGATGTACGCCTTACGTACAGGATGCAACCATAATCTTCGAAATTAAATTGATATTGTATAATTCCGTCACAAGCATCTCGTAGCCCGTGTTTTACTTCATACACACAACCAACGTTGAATCGGTGACATGAATTATCTATTTGGTCTAGCCATGTATAAATCAGCTCTGAACTGGTCTATAAGTTTAGCTCACATATGTTGTCTTCTGTGACAGCATGGATGACTACGGCCTAGTTATCCCTAAACTGGGTAGGCTCTGAACCCCTCGGTAAGGTTTGAGGTCATATAATAAGCTGGGCTGCGGACGAGAGCGAAAGCGTGCCCGTGGTTCCGTCCCGATGCGTTGGAGGAACAGAGGGGTTTAGTGGGTACGCCTCCGCTATGGAGGAGAATCCCACATAACTACCGCGTCCCTCTCGGGGCGCGGAGTATGCATAAAGCATTCCCCTCTGAAAAAAAAGGACATATAATAAGCTGGCGACAACGTTGCCGTATACATACGTAGGAACTAAACAACAAAATATCGGCGACACGGGCCTATGTACGAACCTTATTACTCTGTATGGATTAAGTTGCTTAGGGGCCAAAATTACCGGGCTTACAAGATTTAGTTTACCTTGTGACCGAGGAGAAGACCATATTTCCTAAGCTCTTTATTTGAATTGATTATTTTTTTTCAATCTTAAGAAATAAAAAAATATTTTTTTTTTATCTCGTATCATACTTTGTCTTTGGGTAGGCTATCATTGTCAAACTCAAACGTCAAAGTCGGTAAGTCAAAAATCAAAATATTGCAGAGAATCGGAGAAGAGAAAAGCTTTTGTAACTTTTATTTATTAATTTAAAATTGGTTTTTAAAGTGGTAATCTGCATCGTACTTTTTATATTGATAGCCGGCCAAAATATCAAGCTAGAAATTTTGTTCAATTAAAGCACTAATTTCTTCAATAAGAAATGGCAGGACCAATGGAAAGAATCCAAGTTCTGGACGATATTGAAAAGGACATTATAACTTGCCTGCAATGTGCTGGTAAGATTAATTGAATCTGTCTTAGCATTTCTTTATTGAATTCGTTTGCTACATGTAGGTTTTATAGATTCTGTGAAACTCGAGTCAGAATCCTAAATTCTTTGGTACACAAATTAAATCAAGGATCACTTAGCATATTTTCTTATTCACTGTTACATATATTATGTTATTTTGGATGTAATGTTTCTATCTATAATATTTTATCATCCTTTAGTTAGAAGCGGTTTCCATCTTGTACTATAATTCTGAATATCACATGTTATTATTTCAGCACAAGCACTTTTGGAATTAGGCAAAGAAAAATCCAGTCAAAAACAAGCTGAGACTAATACATCACAATTCTTAAGAACTCTTAGTCAAGTGGAGTCCAAGTTGAGTGACCAGATTAACTATTTAACCCAAGTGTCTACTGGACAGCCACATGAAGGGTCAGGATATGCATCTCAGAAAGTTTTGCAGATGGCTTGGCACAGACTTGAACATGTCCGCTCTTGGGTCAATGAATTGGATAGACTGAAAGCATCACACTTGGCTGCAGCTAATCGTCCAACACCAGGAATTCCTAATGGCAGTATGACTTCTTCTGGAACTAGTACTTAAATGCTTTTTAATCTTTGCATTATACTTGTACAAATTTTAAAAAATAACATGTCCATGTAACCATTCCTTGGGTTATGTATTTTAATATCTACAGCTAAAGCTCTTATTAAAGTTAAATAATAAATGAATTACACTGAATACAATTGACTTTCTTTTCTTTCAACAACATAAAATAATTAAAGCCTTTTATTAATCAAATAAATGATGATAAACCATGTGCATGTACTCTTATCAAAAGCAAACAGCAGGCCAATGACTGTTTATGTTAATAAAATTGACATAAAACTTTAATACTAAAAAAACCAAACACCTATAGCAATATTTTAAAATTTGATGTGATTGTTTAAAATAGTTTCCCCATAAAGAAGGCTCTGCCACTTGAGAGTCGCTTTTATATTTACCTGCTTAGGGGGACAACCAGCGAGTAGGACTTAATAAAATAAATCATCAATACCCATTGATATTGACAATTCTAGAGGAACTGTAGATGCATTGCAGGCCTTTGAGAAATATGTAAACATGTTGTCGACCGCGACATCGTTCGCGCGGAATTAAAAAAAAAATAGAAGTCTATGTGTTCTTCCAGGATCTATTCAGCCGTTCTGGAGATACCTTCAAACATCCATCCATCCATCTAAACACTGGCATTTATCATATTAGTAAGATAATTGTTGATCATAGAAAACAAAAACCTTTAGGTACAAATCTGCTATATTTCGTAAAGGTGAAGAATAACCAAAAAGTTTATAAAAGAAATTTTTACAAAAGTTACAGTCATTTAATAGCATACCATTCTTAAAAAAGCAGTTGAATGAAGTCAATATTAAGTGAATAAACAAAAAACTAATTCCATGTCATGGTAACTTATCACAAGCACTACAAAGACATCACTTTCTTAAAACAAAAGTTTTTCTTTAAATTTTCTTTTTTTTCTAATAAAAATTCTATACACGCCACTAGAAATGGAATCGATTTTACTTTAAAAAAAATTATCTACTACTCACCATTAAATAATTGGAACTAAAGAAAACACTGATATCTTTGCAAAAAATAAATAATGTAAAAAAGTTACAATTACAACATTTAAGGCAAACCCCTTGTATGGTATTCTGACTTAGACATTTATTAAGGTTGAAAAAATTGATTAACAAACATTCTAACACATATATATCTAACATTTACAAAACTACATGTAATAGCCATTTCATTTAGATAAAAACACACATTATCCTGAACGAAGTAGCTAGTAGTAAATGCATAATGTTAATGTTGTGCAAATAAAATGACATTTTGAACTATTAATTATGAAATCACTCCTCTTTTCAGCTCCTTTGGTTTGCATTTGCATTCGTGAATTTCTCTATATCGTCCAATGATCGTTTTGCTTTAGATGTTATATCATCAAAAGACTTCTTAGTTTGAGAAAGTAGCTCATCTGTGCTTTTACATGCGGAAGTAGCTAATTCCTTTATTTCAGTGTCAAATTTTCCTATAACCCATTCAATTGCTTGTCGACCTTTGCCAGCATTGAGGGATATTTTGTTTGTAAGTAAGTCCTCCATGTAACTACTCAAGGGCACTCCCTGAAAAATAATATCATATTAATATTATAGGGAATTTTAACAAGAAGTTTTATTACTTAGTTTATTATTATTCCATGTTATTTACAGTTATATTTAGTTTTATTGTCTGGTTTCATCCTTTGTTTTATTATAATTTAGGTTAAAGTTTGATCTTGAACTTCAGTTTCAGATAAGACAAAAAAAAACATCCATTGTTGTTGATAAGATAATTAAAGATAGGCATTAGGTGCCAATGGACATCGAATGCTTTCATTATGAAAATTATTTTTGACATTTTTGCTAAGTTTTGTTGTTTTCAACAATTTTTTTTAAAATAGTTTATATCCTATTTCACAAATCATCCTTTGGTTATTTCAACACTCTTTTGTAAATTGGTTAAAAACAATGAGTTTTTTTTTTGTATAAGGTGGTACTTTAATATGACATACAAAAATAAGATAATAATAAATAACTTACTTGAACAGTTACCACAGCTTCTTGTTTCAGCAAAGTTTTGGAAGTATCCTTGGGATCTGGTGTGTAAGTAACAGTTTCATCGACAGCTATGTATCGGCAGAATGTCAAGTTTGTTGTTTTTAGAGTCATTTGTCTCTCAATTGGATTTACTTCAGATTTTTCGCTAGCATAGCATATTTTTGCGGTTCCAATTAGCTGAAATAGTAACAATTATCGTTTAAATAGTAAAGTAATAACTGAGAAAAAAGTAATTTCTCCTGCTTTTGTATTGCAGAAAGAACAAAAGCACTCTATATGAAGTATTTTTAAATGTTTCTGAGGCTATAAGACAGATACAACTCTAGGTATTTGCATCCTAAGGTAAAATATTGGAGAATATTTAGAAAATTGTCTTTTTAAACATAAGTACCTGCTAACAGGACTTACAAGATAAAATCAACAGAATTTAATTTTGTTTTCTTAGACATAGTATGAAGATTTAAAGTAAATAGTTTAATCAATTAGTATACAATTAGTATACATTAAAAAACAATTAAAACACTAATTGCTAGCTGCAAGCTAATGGTAACCAATTTCTTTCAGTATTTTACTGGTAATTTTTTTATATTAATAAGGAAAAGTTACAAATTTATAATAATGCATGACTTACCGCTTGAGCCCATCTAGGAAAAAACCATTTCGAACTAACAAGCCTGTGCGTATGCAATACTCCGTCGACCACTTTTCTCTCAACCACATCGGTTCCTATGACTGCAGGGTTCATAGGATTGGGATACTTACGCCATGCTGCCTGAGCAACTGTTTCCCAAGGGTGACTAGAATTAAAATAATTTTTATGTCATTATCACAAAAATTTCCACTTGTATTTATCACTACCTCCTTGTTGCGTCACTACATACTTGAATGTGTGTTCTGAAGTCCAAATCTTCATATTTATAGAATTCGTAAAATGTACGTGAATTATATTTAAACTAAGGAGTTAGAGGTTTTCTAAATTCATAATTACATTACGTTTAACCAACAACATTAACTCGTCTCCATCTGATTAAAGAGGAAAAGGCCCTCTCGCGACAGGATAGACAAAGACAAGCAATTAATGGTGTTACCATGTAAATCTTTCAAAAATTCCATGTAATATTATCGATCGACTTTAAAACTGGTTGAAATTGGTGTGTTTAATGTTAATAATCTTAATACATAATACTTTTACAAATAATAGGCGTATTAAGTTAAATATACACGGCTGTCTTGTAAACACTAAAATGTAGCGTAATCTATTGACGGTACTGATCATATAAAAATAAGAAAAAGAAATAACAATAAGAATTTTAAAATATGCAAATCAAAATCGAGAATCTGTTCTATAAAAATCTAATTATTACTCCATTCAATAAATATATGTCACATGCGCACACACGAAGATATAGCTATAGCTATAGCTTGTAAATATCTTTTCGCACATTTTATTCAACAAAAGCCGCATAACATTTTTCTACTCCTCCGCCCATTTACTCTCCCTGTTACTGCTAATGCTTTTTATTAATGAAATGAGTCGTAGTATTTTTTAAAAGAATCCAAAGTTTTACAAGATTTTGTAAAAAATGAATTTGCTATTAACTTTATTGAGTTGAGTAAAAAAATGTCAACATAATATTCTAGACCTTATATATAAATTCAGGTAGTGTAACATGACCTGATTTTTTTTCTGGTTATTAAAAAATATCAATGTAGTACTACGACACCACAGAACTATAACGCGTAAAGCGAATCAATATTTGATCATAAAAATTGTATCCTAGTTTCAAAATATTTTTTTCTATTATTCTAGGGAAAATTAAATCTGGCAACAATTGTTTCATATTTTTGGCACAGATTATTGAATGGAAAAATAGAAGTCAAAATATTAACCAACCTTTATCTTGCGTCAAAGTCGTTATCAGCAGTTATCAGTAAATATGTAGCATGTCTAAAAAAGGTGAAAGGAGATGATTAACTATGTAAATTTTCGTAAGAAAATTTCAAATGTTAGGTACGTAGTGTGTACATAGGATGGTTATTTAACTAGGAAACCTTGAAAACTTTTACGTTTATATAACCTTGACCTTCAAAAAGAAGGTAAAAAGGTTAAAAGCAACTGTTGTTCATAGAGCTGTTATACGTTTAGGAGGAAAATAAAACTTCTTTAAAACAGCTATTATTCTATATGCTTATTATTACTAATTAAGTTAGCTGAAATATCAATAATCAACCCACACTTTAACGTGAATAAATTAGCAATACAACTTTATAATAAAAACAGACATCAGAGAAGATTCTAAGTAGGTATTCGGTTGTATTTTGTCGAAGATAGGATTTTTTGAATCTGTATGTAGATTCGCAATAGATATAAAATACATAAAAGCAAAGAATATATACCTACCATATTGTGAGGAAACGGGCGGCGCATTGAAGGTAATTTAAAGTATGAATGCTATTGACCAACTAAAATAGAGGCCATCAAACTAAACGATCAAAATATGTAATAAACTGAAAAACCTTCGTGGCATAATACTTTGTAATTATTCCCTCTAGATTTTACATACATACTGTGTAGTTGTATTGTAGAATAAAAATATATGACGCTTTTAATCTAGACTACTGTGTAAAATACAACTATGAAATATAAAGATTCTATTGTTCAAGATTATCGTTCCATAAGAACATTTAAATATTCTTCAGGACATTTTGGGACATTTTGATTATTAATAATTGTATTTTGTATTATAATTGACAATTAATTGTATTTCAGTATATTCTTTTATATTCTACAAATACTACGCAAAATAATTTCAATGTGTCACAAAAATGTGATAAAGAACAACGTAAAATAAACTCATTTATCAGACTTAATTATTTGTAACTACACACCTGTGACTGTGCTGTTTTGTGCGACCTGTGGACTTTGTCCTACATGACGTCACGTGCACACGCGTTGGCGCTGGTACTTTAAAGTCTTTTAACACTCGAAATAAAATTTCATCATGATATTATGTTGCCAAAATTCTTAACCATTTCTTCTTCTTCATGGAGTCTCATCTTCCCAGCTACGATGTTTTTATGTACATAGTTAACGTTTATACGAAGACATGTGATGTGATCAAGGTCCCAAGTTTGATTCTTAGTTCTGTACCAATGACTCGTTTGTGTTATTGTTCTCTCCGTAATGCGGTTGGAATCAGTACTGACAGACCACAATTAGGCTCAATAATTCAAATTGGGTACATATTAACCTTTTTGTCATAGGGTATATAATTTAGACAAAACACATATAGTTGACATGAGAGATAAAATTCTAAAAGAATTTTGAAAAGAACGAGTTTAAATTTTTTTTTATATAGAAATAGATGACAAACGAGCCTCTTAATTTCACCAAACAATTAGTTGTTTTTTTGTCTGTCTGTATGACTGTCCGCCAGGCCGTGTGTGTCTAGGTAATCTCCGAAACAGCTGGATAAATTTGACGGGACTTTGAGCGGAAAGTAGCTGATGCATATTCTTTATTTTTAATTCTACGCGGTTGAAATGGTGGCCCACCACTAATTTTAAATATTTGCTTTACAACGTCACACAATTCTCGTGTATAAATTGGCATAAATCTCCAAGGTCGACTATTATCATTCATCTCGCTTCATTCCCAGTCCATGCCGTGCGTAGATATATAACTGATGTAGATGTAGAAGCTTGATTATCCGGAGATATCAATATTACAGCCATAGCCCGAATATCTAGGTACCATGTAAACTCAAAATCTTCAAGTCAAGCCCAGGTTGTATACTTAAGTATTCCTAATATTTTAGGTGACAAAAACACTGCGCAAAGATCGTATTGTGTTTATTCCTGTTTTTACTGTTGAAACATGTGTACAACAATATTGCCGTCCCCCTCTTTGAAAAAAGCAAAGATAACAATAGTATTTCTTATACGGGGGCTATACTGTATAAGGAAGACAGTTTAAATCTTGAAATTCGTTGGTGAAATCTGAAAAATACAATTATGACGTAATTCATCATCGCTTGTATGTGTGAAGGACGCTATCTAAGCTGCAATAATAATTTTTAATAAAGTAAATAACGTTTTTCAATTTGTCATTATGATGATGTGATCTGTCAGTTTATTTTCCTCGTTTTCAGCATCAGCATCATTCTTTTAATTTCATTCTCGTTTCTCGTCGGGTTTGCTATAGTTGCTTGCTCGCTTAGTCGGTGGTCACGTACATATTATTATCGCGTAATGAAACAATCGCAAAACAAAGTTTGTCGCTGTCATTTGTTTCTTTCATTGAATTATTTTTATTCCATTTCGATTAAAAAACTGTAGAATTATGAAATACCCTAATTAGGTTAGCGATAGTATATTTCTTCACGAATATAGGTATTTCGTTTTTTGTCTGTGTTTGATAACACCCGCATATGAAGATAACGCGATACAATTATTTCTTATCATTAAGTTGCAGTTGAAGTTTCAGTGTAGTGTTTGAATTTAGAAAAATGACTACAGAAGCTGAAGAGAAAGCTCTTCGTTACAGAAGGGCTCAAAGTGTAACTAGGGCTGAAGAAATAACAGAAAAGGAGAAGAAAGCTAGAAGACTGCAAGTAGATAAACCGTATGTAGCAAATGTATACACATAAATAAAAAACTACATAATTCATAATTATGCATTTTATATAATGTTATCTTAATTAGTTTAATAATATGAAAGTAAAAGTTTAATAAGATAAAAGTCCTTGTCATGTATTTGAGAGGAAGGTCTTCCAAGAAAAAATATGTAGTCATTCTGTTCAATAATCGTCAAATGGTTTTGTAGTAATACGATTGGAATTTCTCACACCAATATGCTTATCTTAAAAAAATGCTATAAATTGTAAAAAATTGATTGATTTTCATGCAAATATTCAATTAGTCAAATATTTATAGTCAAATTATTAATTTTAGTCTCCAGTTTTGAATTTCTAAATTAATTTGTGAAAATTAATTATTATTAATTATATATCTGTTATTTCTTTCATACTAGATGCCACAAACCAAGAGATTCTCTATTCTCATGGAGTTCGGAGTTCACAAACTTCACTGGTCTTGTCAACTGGGGATTTTTGATGCTAACTATTGGTGGCGTACGACTGTGCCTTGAAAACTTTTTGAAGTATGTATTAAAGTGTTTTTATTAAACACTAATTTATCAGATAATATTTACCTTGAATTTGTTAACTAAAGATATTACTATTTATTATAAATATTTACTTACTATAACATTTTAGATATGGAATACTAGTTAATCCTCTGGAATGGATCATTGTATTAACTGGTTATAATGAAGGACGCACACAGCAGTATCCCTCTATCATTTTACTTATATGTGAGTATTTGTAGAATTTTAAATAAAAATTAGCAGCCAGTAATTTTTTTGTACTGTTTGATTTATTTTTGCTAGTAAAATCTTATTTATTGGAGATATAACATTAAAACTATGGATATTTATAGTGTAACTAATGTTACTTTATGCAATTTTCAGTTAGTGTGGTGCCAGTTGTTTTTAGTTTGATTATCGAGAGAGCTATTTCAGTTGTAAGTATCTTAAGAAAATTGGTATGTATAAAAATAGTTTAAAAATAATTAATGTATGTGTATATTTTATAGGATATACTTAGTGATAAAATAGGTATCAGCCTGCAGATTTCAAATATTGTATTCCTGATAAGCTTGCCTGTTGTTGTGCTGCATTTTAGGAGTCAGGATTTTAGTTTTGGTAAGCGTTATTAATGATAGATAAGTTATGAGTTTAATTTCACTAAATAGTGAGATAATAAATGAAAATCCATAATCAAACATGTAGTATGAGAAAACGATATAATAGGGCTGTTTACATAACAATTTCTCAACTATGTGTGGCAGTCGTGTAATGAAATGTAGTTTAATCAATTTTTTTTTAACATGAAGTTTAAGCTCAAATATTGATCTTTAAATAGAATCTTATCTGAGCTCAATGACTTCTTATCAGTACTATCATTATGAAGAAGAAAAAATACTTAATGGTGTTTGTTTTAGAACAAAAGATAAATGCTTTCTAATTAGAAATTGTTATACTATTTCATATATCTTTGAATAAAATTATATGAAAACAATTATCTGTAGGTAGACTGGCTTTTTTGTATGTGACGGAAGTTATTAAGATTATTTTTAGTTAATTTTTAATTGTCCAAACATGATTTAAATAGTCACCACAATTATCATATTTTCTTGTCAATAATTTCCAATTTTTTTTATTACAGTGGGAATAACAACTGTTTGTATGATATACCTGATTTTGTTTTTAAAATTATGGAGCTACTGCCATACAAACTACTGGTGTCGGAGTAGTCTTAGAGCCAAGCCTAAGAAGACCAAACTGCGGAGGCAAAGTCTTTCAGCACCAAATTACAGTAAGTTTTATTAAAAACAAGTTTAATTTTAATACTAGAACTTTATCTGACTAAAGTAATATTTATACTTTATATGGAATTTGTACTTTAACTCTAGATAATAATGACTCACATTTTAAATACCACATGTATTTAATTTAGTCAATAGTGGCTAAGACTTTTTTTAGTATTTTCTTATAAAGAGGTCACAATAGGGTATGTGTAATAATGCAACTATTTTTCTTCATATAAAAACCATAAATTACACATAATTAATCAATATGACATTGATAAACATGTATTAATGGCAAGGTAGAACTTCCTGTTAATTTAACGAAACATGCTATAATAAGTATGTATATTACTACTAGTTGGCTCTCGCGATTCCGTCTGAGTGGAATTAAAGAAAAACATAATTAGTAGCCTATTTGTAAGCCAAAGTTCATCGAGTATGTAGATACCTTCAAACAAAAATACATACATACATCCATTGAAACATTTATATTTAAAATTTTAGTAAGTTTAGTAAGAAAATATTTAAAGTAAAATGTGTATAGTCCATGTTGTAGCAAGTATTTTATACACTTTTAGTATAGTTTCTTTTCTTGCTAATTGTATTAGATATGTATCTTAATAAATGTTATTATTTTATTACTATTGCAGTAATTTTTAATTTCACAAATATTTTGGGTTAATCACTAAATTAAAAACTAATTTATGTTTTATTTAGTTTTTTTCATTAGTAGTTACTTAATTGTAGTATGTTGCGTCATACGGATAATGTATTTAACAAAATACTATTTGCAGATGAACTCATGAACGCGGAACATGAGCGTAAGTTAAATAAATGTGTTTGCAAAGCACTAACATGACATCGTGTTGCCAACCTAATAACAAGAAAGTTTTATTAAAATTAATTGTATAAATAATAATTATAGATATTAGCGATACATTTTCAGTTTCATGAAGCAATTTTTTAAATGTGTGTAAATCTTAATATAACTTTCTTAATAAATTTGTAACATGATGCACAAATGCTATTAAAATCCTATAAATAGGTGTGGTTTGCTTTTTAAAGCTTTTCTTCGTGGTAATAAGGATTTGGTGTTTTTTGGCAACTTTAAATATATATAAAATTTACACATACACAGGATTTTTACACAAATCACAAAAAAATATTTTGCACAATCTTATGTATATTAATTATCAATTAAAGGCGTTTTTGTTTATCCAATAATTTAGTAGATTATTTCAAATTACATTGAAAAAATTATTAAATATTCCAATATAAATTTGTAAAATATTTAATTATTGCTTAATTTAATACACAAACTCCTATCCGTTGAAGAAAGTATTTCTTTTTTAATTTAACAAAATTATTTGGCTTTCTTGCTTTTAAAGAATAGTACAGAGCATTTTAAATGTCAAATAATGCTTTATATGCGCGTGTTTTTTTTGTTTTAACAAACTTATCAATCATCCCTCTGTCTTTAAGTCTCTCTTCTGTCTGACTGTATGGTAAGAATAAGGACAGTAAGATGTTATTTCTAGCAAATTTACTTTTGGTATTATTTATAGAAAGCTTAGACGATGAGAAAAGTGAGCTTGCTGCTGTGGGCCTCGTGCAGTACCCGGATAATCTGAACCTCAAAGATTTATTATACTTTTTGTTTGCACCAACATTATGCTATGAGTTGAATTTCCCGCGTACCACACGGTAAGATATTTATAACCTCTTTTTTTGCAATATTTTATAAATAAAATTAGAAAGTTGCCACTAAAGATATCTTTATAAGAAAACATATACTGAATCGATAAGTGTGTGAACCTTTTTTCTAATTTTTCAGAATCAGAAAACGATTTCTTATTAAAAGGATCGTTGAGGTTGTTTTCGGTGTCAATCTAATAATGGCATTATTCCAACAATGGATGATACCCACTGTTACGAACAGTGTACATCAGTTTTCTGAAATGAATATGATTAAAATGGCGGAACGGTTGCTAAAACTGGCTGTAAGTATAATTTATAAATGATTGTTAAATCAAAGAAGTATAATTAAATAGTATAAACAAAAAAAGGGTCTTGACAGACAGACGGACGGACAATATAGTGATCCTATAAAGGTTTCGTTTTTTTCCTATTAGGTACGGAACCCTAAAAACAGAAAAATGTACAATAACTATTTTTAGACTATTAGTGAGAATCCTTTGGCGCGAATGGCGCGCTTTCGTTACCAAGTCCAGTGTCTGAATGATTAGTGACGGGACATAACCGTTGATATTTTTATAAGTCTAGTGTTGCGCCGATACACCGGCAGTGTCGGATTTTCTTCCTAACCCTGTGCTGCTGTCTGTTAAAAAAATCGTGCTTTATTTTAGGTTCCAAACCATTTGATATGGTTGTGTTTCTTCTATCTTACGTTCCATTCATTTTTGAACTTGATGGGTGAACTGTTGCACTTCGCTGACCGCAACTTCTACAATGACTGGTGGAATGCAAATAACATCGCGACATTCTGGAGCTCGTGGAACCGACCTGTGCATTTGTGGGCGTTGCGACATGTCTACATTCCTATCACAGACCGGGGCTACGGCAAATCCAATGCCAGTATTGTTGTCTTCTTTTTATCAGCATTCTTCCATGAGTATTTGGTAAGTTAGACATTTGATTACTTACCATCAATAAGTTATTATTCATTGAGATATATTATAAAGAAGAAAGATAGTATTGTGTGTTTGCTTATCATTGAGTAGGGTCTGAAACTACTGAATCGGTTTGAAAAATTATTTCTCTAACGGAAAGGTACACTATCTATCACTACCACTAGGGTGACGTATGCTATAATTTTTACGATGAAGTCGCGGGTAACTCCTTATCATAACAGCGCCATCTGGATGACTTAGGCATACTTAGAACAACACTAAACGTTAATAGCGCCATCTTTCACAACTGAGGCTAGAAGAAATATGTCTAGCGGAAGATGGCGCTGTTCAGATTGCAATATTTCATTTTTAAATGTTCAACCTTTTCTGATTGTTGTATGCCTCGTTTGATTGATTTCAGGTGAGTGTACCTCTCCAGATGTTCAGAATCTGGGCGTTCTTGGGCATGATGGCGCAGCCGCCTCTGTCCATTATATCTCGGTTCGCGGAGGTGCGGCTCGGCCCGCGCTGGGGCAACATCATTGTGTGGAGCTCGCTCATAATCGGCCAGCCTCTCGCCATCATGATGTACTACCACGACTATGCACTCACTCACACACTTAAAACACCAACAGTTATATAATCTTTTTCTATAAAAGATTGGAAAGGAGCAAGCTGTCACCTGAATTCGTCGAAATGGCGAAACAACCGCTGCTCATAGACATCCACAATCGCAGATGCGTTGCCTTTAATCGACCTAGTAGGAGACGCACAGAAAGATTACCCTTCTTATGCATCCCATCCATCATATCCAATTCTTCTTAACATCTGTTCCTTATATACATATAAGGGAGGGAGGATAAAGGGAGGGAAGGGAAGAGGACCAATTTATTTCTCCGGAATGCACACCCATTAGGCTTCTGTGTGGTCGTTGTACCTGACGAGCAGACACATTCGTATAACAGATTATTATTGGCGTCAACCACTGTTAACTGCTTACAAAATATTACTTAGCTCAGATATTAAGAAATTAAACCAAGCATACAGTTTTTAATTTTATATTTTGTTGGTAATTTTTTTTAGATATAAGTTTAAAATTTATTTGCAAGAGCACGACATTCAATTTTTTCCAAATTTAATGTTCCATAGGAGTATTTGGAAATAAATGTTGAAAGTTTTTGCAAATGGTGCAATAGTTCGTGTCTACTTGAATTTGTTGCTTTAGAATTAACTTTTATCATCTATGTCTCGAAAATACTCTTTTCTACTAAGAAACTAATACATTATTTGCTCGTAGTTATTAGTAACATTGTCAATAGCTAAGAAAATGTTCTTCTTTGCTAGAGTATTAACATTTATAGTAAATAATTATAAATTAAATGAACAAAATATATTTTACGTACAGTTTATATGCACATTATACAAATTTATATACGCATTTTTATAAAAACATTTAACAGAAAATATTTATTAAAAATATTCTTATTGTATAGCATTTAAGTAAAAGATAAGACTGAGCGTACAAAATACATCAGGGTTTTCCCTTTAACTGTTTTATGAATAAAAATTGTTGGATATATTTTTACATTTGTATTTTTATATTATATAATATATAATTCGCATTTATAAAAAAACGATTATAATTTTTTAAATAATTTTACATATAAAAATAATAATGAATTAACGCAATTCGTGATAAGCATGGTTTCTATTTTTAATGTGGTACGATTTTTTTAATTAAAAATGAAATAAGAACTACTCAAAAAATATTCAAATGCCTTATGCCAATAATAATGTAATATTTCGTAATAAAAATATGTTATTTTTATGTAATTCAATATATATTTTAATGTTATAGCTTAATTTAACATATTAATATTACGGGGGCCATTTGGGTATAGAAGTAATGATTCCCATAGTGCAAATGTTATTTAATTTAAATATTTTCTTGAAATGGATTTATTTATTATAGCTTGTCATGAAATTTGTAATTAGTAATTGCAATCATTTTATATCTTATTTTAATTGAATTTCTATGCCAAAAAGAACCTAAATATTTACTACTTATTTATAAACTAATGTTCTATAAAATTTTGAGTGAATAATGAGCAATAATAATTATTATCTTTTATATAATTTTATACTTTTTTGGGTTGATAATAAATCATGATTTTTCATATTTTATTTTATTGCTATAACCTTTTTTGATTTAATTAAAACAACGCAATAAATCTCAAATATAAAATTCCAAAGTATTTTCGGAAAGCCATTGTCAAAAAAAAGTCTCAAAAAGGTGTATAATGTCTCAAGAATGTCAATTTGATTGCGCGGTTTAGTTTTTATGCTACAACTAATAAACCTCGGGGAAACTTTGTTTTATAATATGTAAAGATGACGAATGCACATTTACATAATAGATAATTATAAGATCGTGCAACCTCTGACTCGACAAATTGACATGTGCAGATTGTGCTTGGATCAACGAACGATTATCATATATCCCTGAAGGTCGCTTATATACGCATACAAGAATATTATAAAATTATCAATAATCACCTATTTCATATAATAATTCTATACTTCTCTATTCTTGATTAACTCGACTTTTCGATCTGATGAAACTATAGTTCTATACGTAAATAGTTTTTTTCTAAAAAATGTTAAACATCGACAAATACACAATATAAATATGCATAACAATTAGGTAAAAAGTATAACCTGGTGTGGATAAAAAAAAACTAACAACAATAGACAATTTTTTTTTTCATAAAAAAGTGACAAGTTTGAAGTATCGACTCTCAGGCATAAAGCAGGAATGAAAAGTGGAATCGTAGAAAATCGATTGATGAAGAGCGTCCGATAGCGAGGCGTACGTGTCCGCCCCTGGGACCTGTCTCTGCCCCGGAAGCGCTCCCGACCTATTGTTCATTGAGCAACCGCATAATATTTGAGATTATTCAAGTAGTTAAAATTGATATAAAATTATGAAGGTTGAGATATCTATGTTTAAATTATGGAAATAACTATTTTAAAGACAGAAACAAGAATAGATGCAAAATAGATTAATTCCATTCTAGCTCATTTACAACAAAAAACTTCGTAACTTATAAGGGACATGCGTATTGAACAAAATCAAACAAAAAATGACAAATGAATTAAATAAAATAAGCAATAGTAAAATGAATGAGTGAGTATATTTCTAATTAACAATAACAATTTCATGTTTAAATATGCAAAATAATGATGATTATTAACTAAATATTGTGCAATTAACAAAAGGCAAATAGAAATGAACCGAACAGATAGGTATAGGTGTTGTCGGAGAGTAATCATGTAATAACGTTTGCGGCGCGAGCGGCTTGCTAACAATGTTGACCGTGGTAAGCAAACAACGGCGATGGAGTCAGCACACGCCCGATCCCGAACCGCTCCACGCCGGTGCCGCATCGCGTCGCATCCCCGATGCTTCCGTACAATATTATCCTTACCCTATCACTTCAAATTCCTACAGACAAATTATGACTTCATAGTTATTTGGTTATTTTATCTGAAAATATGGTTTTAATTGCACGCTCAACATTATTTGAAGATTAATTAAGTAGTCCTTTAGTATATTTATCATTCAAATTTACAAAATTAAAGTTAATTCGCAGTGCGACAGGTGGCAGTTAAATTCAAAATATTTTAAAATAATACGAAGGTTTAACTATTAACTACAAGATATCCATACAAAACTGGTGTTTAATGTATGGTTCCAGAACTTATGTTTGCGAAGTTGAAATGTTAGTTCATGCATATCTTCAATTATTGCTCATTATTTTAACGATAACAAGCGCATCGTTTCAATTAAGAGGGTTAATAAGAAAGGGTTAAATGTTTGGGCGCAGGTCGTAGATTGTATAGCTCGGGCTCGTGGCTCGGGATAATGCTGACGTGTCGAACCCTCCGCGCTCTCTGACGCGTGAAATCACTTTGTTCAACAGTTAGTCATGTAGCCGACGCGCCATTTGGATATTCAATGTAATAACTGAAATTATGATTATTAAAAACAGACGAAACTGTACACTAAAATAAAATAAGGAAGCTTTTATGGTTTTAATTCTATTAATTCCATTTTTACTTAGGTACTAGTTTTGATGACAGGCAAACAACTAAAAGCGGAGAACTACAAATAAAAAAATCAAACTACGTGACAAGACGATTCAAAGGAGCTCAAACTCGATGAGGTTGTATCGTTTCATTACGAAGTTCTTGTTCATCCAGCTGCATGATCAGATCAGCACCACGTCATCATAATATTGCATTATCACGCGATTTACACATGTATGCAAAATTTCAGCTCAATAAGTAACGAGGAAGTGTATCAAATTAAATTTGCAATATTTGATTACAAACATCGGTACATGTGAAATCTTACTTACGATATTTTTGTCACAAAAAGGCTTTGCATTTATTTCGAATTAATTAACGAAATTAATCAACACCTTATCTTCAGAATACAGCAATCTGAATTACTCCGCAGTAATCCGTCTCCTCAGAAACAAACCGCTATGTTTCTAAAAAAGATCTGAGTAATATTTCGGGCAACAGAAATCAAATCGATTACAGGTTTAAATGTAGAAAGAAGAAATATCAAACGAAACCTGTCTTGAGGCACGCATGAACCACGATTGTTTGAATGGAATCCATCTAGTAATATAAACGTATGTATCGATAATAAATAGGCAAGTACAATGGAATACATCTATTTATCGATATGACCTGTGTGGTCCGCCCCTAATATGGGAGCTGTAGATCACATGTCGCTCGGCGTGGAACAAAAGCATGTTCATGTTTACATTATGTATGTTGAAATAGGATCATAACACGGTAAGATCTTGATTAATTATTATAATACGCAGACCGGCAGTCAGTAAAAATGTCAATAAAATCGCGTGTGAAAGTAAAAGATTGTAGTTATTTTCGTAGCAGGATAACGTCTACACTCTACAGTCGTAGGCGGCGCTACGAGAAAAGTGTCGGCAAGTCTCTGTAATTTAAGTACTTTAAATAGTTTCACAAAATCTAAAACGATTATTGATGATTTATATACCTATAACATTTATTTTAATATTTTAAAAATTTAATACATTTATGGGATAATTTATTAAAAAATTGTTTAGTTTCATTTGAGTCACCTTAACAGTTACAAGATACGAAAATTAAATCTCAATCAGTAGTCACATTTTGAGATGTAACCGAAGCTAATTATCTGGACACGAAAAATATTATATCTTTAAATACCTTGTACACCGTCACAACTTTAAATTAAAAGCCTTGGTGTTACAATATAAATGCACTTAAGGCCATGTACAACGTACAAATTTGCATGAAGCATTTTATGTACATGTGTTGTGTAGTGTTTATGTTTTCATATCGTTATGTTGGTGAACTTATGATTGCGAAAATAAAGGCTTCTACATACATATATGCGCGCGTCGCGGTACGTCATTGGGTGGGAGGGCGGAGCATGGGGCCGCCCTGCGCCGCGCCGGCAGTTCGCTTCCGGCCGGCGCGCGCCCCGCACGCTCCATGGTGGAACACGCACTCGTGGACTGCTCCCAGGCGAGCGCCATGCAAACCCTGCCGCCACAGCCACATCGCGAGGACGACGACCAACTCGCCGATGAGTACGTTCAAAATTTCGAACTCGATCACCTCGAGGATCAT